CCAGCAGAGCTGCCAGTTACCATATTATCCCAGTCAGTGCACCGTTCCACTCAAACATGGCTGAACTACAAAGTGTCACAGCCTGGAAGTGGGTTTAGCTCTGCTGAGCAGGTGCTACTACCGCCTTTCAGGTGTCAATCAACGCGCCTTGAAGATCATAAAAGTATTTCATTTTTTTAATGTGACTAGAGGTGCATTGAAGCTGACTATATGGGGTATAAATGAGGAGGTTTATTATAGAGGAAATCACCAAATGCAAGCTCTGAGTAGTTTATCTTGCATTATCAGAAGGCTTTTTTGAAAAACGCAGAAAGGTTCATGAATGTGAACTCCGACTAAATGAAAGCTGCATTTTAACTCCTATTATCTGCGGAATGAGATTCTCGCCTAGCTAAAGCATTTTTTCGGGATGGCATCTGACAGTCCTATTTTCAATCCTGCACACGGCCACTGCTTGTGTTCAATAACTCTGTGCTATTTCTGCCTTCTTATGTGGCAGTGGTTAGCGTGTTTCCGTACCGTGTAAGAAATGAACAGCCGTGACTGAAACGCCATTCATTGGAAATATTTTATGTGTACGGATGATGAGTTGAATAGTGAATCAACTACATTTTGGGACAGAGACACAACTGCATCAATGCTGTAACATCTGCTTAATATATGCACTAGGGATGCACCGATACTGAATACAAGTATCGGTGCCGATACTGAGTATTTGGGTGAGTACTCGTACTCGCCCAAATGCTCTCGATGCTTATCCCAATACCGGAACTTCAGGTATCAAGAAGCTGGGCGTCAAGTCATTACACGCTGCCCGGCTTCCTCATTGGCCCGGAAACCCTTGTTGCCAGAGAGCATGGAGTCGGCATCCCGGCCAAGCAGAAAACCAGGCGGCGTGTAATAACTTGCCGCCCAGCTTCCCGATTGGTCGGGAAGCTGGTCAATCAGGAAGCCGAGTGGTGAGTCTTTACCCGCCCCCCGGCTTCCTGATTGGCCAGAAAGCCAGCTCAATGCTCTCTCGTCGACGAGGGAGCATGGAGCCAGCTCCCAGCCCGACTTCTTGATTGGTCGGAAAGCTGGCCAATCAGGATGCTGGGTCATCACTCACCCCCCAGCTTCTTGATTGGCCAGAAAGCTGGCTCCATGCTTCCTCATCACCGAATCAGGAAGCTGAGGGTGAGTCATTACATCTTACCTGGCTTCCTTAATGGGACTCCCGGTATCGGTATTTGGTATCAGCGAGTGCCGGAAAAAAAATTATCGGTATTCGTAGTCGACACCGAAAAAAACGGTATCAGTGCATCCCTAATATGCACCATGTATTTAAGCTTTTATTTCACCTATTGATCCATTGATTTCATAATAAATGTAATATGACCTAAGGCCAGAATAACCCTTTCATAGCCAGAGCCATTTTTGCTTTTGTTTTTGAACACATATTAATATGCACATTTTAGGCGTGAAGATTACTAAAATCCCCAAATGTATATATTTTGTGAAAGCAAAGTCCCTGTAGAATGAAATGATGGCAAGTCGCACACACTGTGATTACCTGTGGATGATTGCACCTGGACACAGACTGTTTGCATCCAGTGCATTTATCCCCTGGTAATCACAGCATGTGCGATTATATGCGAACACCCAATGACTCCTTAAAGAGTACCTGTCATCTCCAATGTGCTATCACATGCGAATGACCTGTGAAGAACTGTGACAGCTGTCATTGTATTGAATGGGGCCTCCTACCCTCAGCAGATTGCAATTGTGCCACAGAGGAATGTATGAGATTCATGGGCTTCTGCCACATTTGCAAGTGTAAATAATGCCTAATGCATTCAGATTTCAACTTCAACAGCTCCTGTGTAAAATAAAAAAATAGATACATTGAGGGGAATTTAACAAAACTGAAGCAGACAGAATCTGGAGCAGCTCAGGCTAGGTTCACACCTAGGCGACACTTCACTGCACGGCAATCAGCATGATTCCACGTGGATTGCCGCACGGTCAGGAGTCATCAAGGTGTGAACCGATCACGCTGTGGGTGCCATTATTTTCTAATGGCACCTCAGTCGCGCCAGCTAAAACAGCCGCGTGTCGTGTATCGCAAAAAAAGGTACTTGCCACGCGGATGTCACCCCATTGAAATCAATGGGTCCCGTCGGCAATCGCTGCCTGTATTGTGCAGGACCGCACGACGCTAGGGTTGCCACCCGTCCGGTTTTCAACCGGACAGTCCAACTGTGGTATGTGCCCCCCCTATATATTGTTCCTAGAGTCGTCACTGCTCTGAGCTGAGGGTAGTCTGTGTCTGTTTACAGGTGCCCACAGCTCAGAGAAAGATTCCGGTTTCAGGCCGATGTGGCTGCCTGAGATCACGCTTGACTAGGACTTCAGCAGCCGCATCTGTGATCGCTCCTCCGCTCTTCTAACTCTGGTGCTCTATCACATAGAGAAGAAGGAGGAGACTTTCCTCTAAGTGATAGATCACCAGAGATAGAAGAGCGGCCGGGCTGTGTAGATCCCCATGCAGCTGAAGGGAAGAGGCATGAAGAGGTGGGTTACAGAAATAGCCAAGCGGCAGGGGAATGTAATTCAACACAACACCGGCTCCCTGAAACCCGAGTGTCGCACAGCCCACCCGAGAGTTGCACAGCCGGCACAAATCACCAGACCACCTGAAGACATCAGGGCGCCAACTCAGAACAGCACAGAGTATGTAGCTTCACATTATTTTGTATTGCTGGATAATGTATTGCTGGGATTTGCAGTTCTCTATAGATGGTCTCATTACTCCCTCCCCTACCTGCCTCTCCTTACTCTCTCTCTATTCTCCCCAAAAATTTTTAGTGGCGCTAGAGTGTTCGGGTTTCACTTGAAGAAAAGGTGGCAACCCTACACGACGCGCGTCCCGGGTGTCGTGCAGTGTAGTGCAGGTGTGAACCTAGCCTGAAGAGAAAAGCTAATTTCTATGAGCACCTGCTCCAGATTCTGCATGCCCAGTTTTGATAAATTCCCCCCATTGCAAATAGCTGCTCCTGATAGTCGCAGCTCATACAATCTATTCATTTTGGTTTACGTTTTAAATAACATTGACACCAAAAAAACCTGTTTTCGCAAATCAGTACAAAACTACAAAACTGCTGGCTTTGACCCCAGGCCCTGACAGCTAAATTAGCATGTGATAAGCCGTAAATCAGTCTTACCAAATGTTGAAGTCATTTGTGGGAATTTATCAAAACTGGAGCGGTTGCCCACAGTAACCAATTAGCTTCTCTCTAGAGTTTGTTCAATTAAGCTTTGATTATGAAAGGGGGAAGCTGATTGGTTGCCATGGGCATATGCCCCAGATTCTGTCTGCTTCAGTTTTGATAAGTTCCCCCCATACTTGTGACGCAGAATTCCCTATATGTTTCCCACATATTCCCACACTCCTTTGCCCGTACGTCTCCTCCATCACTTGTTCTCTCCCTCCACCTACACCCCTCCTCCATCACCTGTGCCTACCCTCCACTGCCAGTGCCCTTCTTCTCTAACCTTTTACTACATTCAATTACATTTCACCCTCCTCTGTCACCTATGTTTACCCTCTTCCATCTGCACCCCTTCTTCTTAACCTAACCCTACACTCTACCACTTATACACTTCCTTCTTTATCAGTGCCTATCCCCTGCCAGCTACACATCTCCTTCTTTACTGGTGCATAGCCTCTACTAGCTGTATGCCTCCTCATTTGTGAGTGCCTACCCTCTACCACCTGTTACCCTCCTTCCTTATCAGTGCCTATCCTCTACCACCTTTATATCTCATTCTTTACGGATGACTTCCCTCTACTACCTGTACCCCTCCTCCTTTATAAATGTCTACTCTCCACTACCTATACCCCTCCTCCTTTATGAATGCCTACTGTCTACTACTTGTACCCCACCTTCTTTATCAGTGCCTACCGTCTAACATCTGTACCCCTCCTCCTTTATGAATGCCTACCGTCTTCCACCTGTACCCCTCCTTTTTTATCAGGGCCTTCCCTCTAACATCTGTACCTGTATAAATGTCTACTCTTTATTACCCGTAGTTCTACTCTTTTATGAATGCCTAGCCTCTACTACCTGTAACCCTCGATTTATGAGTGCCTAAAAAGTAACACCTGTATCCCTCCTTCCTTATCAGTGCCTATCCTCTGCTACCTGTACATCTCCTTCTTTATTGATACCTACCCTCTGTTACCTGTACACCTCCTTTATGAGTGCCAAACTGATACTACCTGCACCCCTTCTCCTTTAGAAATACGTACTCTCCACTACCTGTACCCCTCCTCCTTTATGAATGCCTACCCTCTAACACTTGTACCCATCCTCCATTACCTGTACCCATCCTCCATTACTTGTACCTCTCCTCCATGGGGTCTCTGCCCTCTCCACCTCTGCCTAATTCTTTTCTTCATTACCCCTTGGCTCCATAACTCTTCTCCCCACCTGCTAATTCAAGTCAACATGTTAGAGCATATAGTACCATCATTGTTATGTATAATATTTTCAACAAGAGGTGTTTGCAGAACGGGAGATAAATACTGAACATTAGTCATAAACAATGTAGTAGTGTACTGTTTTGCGTTAGCCTGATTTCCTATCGTGCCTTCGGGTTAATTGTGCATAAGGATATAAAAATGCTAGGAAATATAATCAATACATTGGATAATGCAATAAAATCTATTCAATAAATACCATGCACCGACTATGACTCAGTATGACCGAATATCGCGTACAAAAAAGGAAAATCTTCAGGGTCTGAATCACAGCGCTAAGAATTGTGAAAATGTAAAGAATTCATTGTTATTCCATATAATTCATTGTTATTCCATATAATTACTGAGCTTATCGCATCACGTAAAGAAATTCTTGTTCTAAAATAGAAAAGATTGTGTGACAGTCTGCAGCAGACAGAGCATTGATAGTCTGTGCATGAAGGATAAGAGCATTCACTGCCTGCTAATCTATTCCCAGATGGAGGTGGATACAGACGAGAAACGGCATCGCACGCGCTCCAAAGGTGTTCGAGGTACGTTCCGTGCTTCACTAAATCACTCAGGGCCTCCACTCAGCAATGACCTTCATCCTGTAGAATCTCTTTCCGTAATTCATTCTGACCCTTCCTTTTTGCATAACCTTTTGGGTAATTTTCTATATCAGAGGGATACTTATGATAGATGATAAATTTTTATATATTTTCCATTCTCTCTACAGTTCCTGTGGAACCAGCCATACAAGAGCTGTTCAGGTTAGTGCTCACAGTGTAAAATACATCCCATTAGCAATTTAGAAAAATCAGGCCTTTTAATGGGCATAATGCACTTTCAAGTTCACCGGTGCCTTGCTCATGCCCTGATGCATTGATTAAATTAATTCTCCCGAGGCTTGCTAATAAAATAGATTTGGCATGGCCTCCTCTTTCCTTTTTAATGCCAGTTATTTGATTAGTGTCTTTCTGTCTTGTTTTGCCCTCCATCTCCATAATCTACCTTTGGGTATTCTACTAATGATCTCCTGAATTTTAAGGCAGATCTAGCGATATTTGTAAATACCCTGTCTGCACTTTAATTCAGGTATAGACACTCATCTAACTCATCTGTCTGCACTTTAACTCAGGTATAGGCACCCATCTAACTCATCTGTCTGCACTTTAACTCAGGTATAGGCACCCATCTAACTCATCTGTCTGCACTTTAATGCAGGTACAGGCACACATCTAACTCATCTGTCTGCACTTTAATGCAGGTATAGGGACTCATCGAACTCATCTGTCTGCACTTTAATTCAGGTATAGGCACAAATCTAACTCATCTGTCTGCACTTTAATTCAGGTATAGGCACAAATCTAACTCATCTATCTGCACTTTAATTCAGGTATAGGCACAAATCTAACTCATCTGTCTGCACTTTATAGACACTCATCCAATTCATCTGTCTGCACTTTAATTCAGGTACAGCCACACATCTAACTATTCTGTCTGCACTTTAACTCAGGTATAGGCACCCATCTAACTCATCTGTCTGCACTTTAATGCAGGTATAGGGACTCATCAAACTCATCTGTCTGCACTTTGATTCAGGTATAGGCACAAATCTAACTCATCTGTCTGCACTTTAATACAGGTATAGACTTAATCTAACTCATCTGTCTGCACTTTAATGCAGGTATAGGCACTCATATACCTCACCTCTCTACCCTTTAATTCAGTTATAGTCACTTATCTAAGCTATCTTTCTGCACTTTAATTCAGGTACATACACTCATCTAACTCATCTGTGTGCATGTTAATTCAGGTACAGTCACCCATCTAACTAATCTGTCTGCACTTTAATTCTGGTATAGGTACTCATTTAACTCATCTGTCTGCACTTTAATTTAGGTATACACTTTATCTAACTCACCTGTCTGCACTTTAACTCAAGTATAGGCACCCATCTAACTCATATGTCTGCACTTTAATTCAGGCACAGCAACCCATCTAACTATTCTGTCTGCACTTGAATTCAGGTATAGGCATTCATCTAACTCATCTGTCTGCACTTTAATTCAGGTATAGGCACAAATCTAACTCATCTGTCTGCACTTTAATTCAGGTATAGGCACAAATCTAACTCATCTGTCTGCACTTTAATGTTGGTATAGTCACTCATATACCTCACCACTCTACCCTTTAATTCAGTTATAGTCACTTATCTAGCCTATCTTTCTGCACTTTAATTCAAGTACATGCACTTATGTAACTCATCTGTGTGCATGCTAATTCAGGTACAGCCACCCATATAACTAATCTGCCTGCACTTTAATTCAGGAATACACACTCATCTAACTCATCTGTCTGCACTTTAATACAGGTATAAACTTAATCTAACTCATCTGTCTGCACTTTAATGCAGGTATAGGCACTCATATACCTCACCTCTCTACCCTTTAATTCAGTTATAGTCACTTATCTAACCTATCTTTCTGCACTTTAATTCAGGTACATACACTCATCTAACTCATCTGTGTGCATGCTAATTCAGGTACAGCCACCCATATAACTAATCTGCCTGCACTTTAATTCAGTAATAAACACAAATCTAACTCATCTGTCTGCACTTTAATACAGGTATAGACTTAATCTAACTCATCTGTCTGCACTTTAATGCAGGTATAGGCACTCATATACCTCACCTCTCTACCCTTTAATTCAGTTATAGTCACTTATCTAAGCTATCTTTCTGCACTTTAATTCAGGTACATACACTCATCTAACTCATCTGTGTGCATGCTAATTCAGGTACAGCCACCCATATAACTAATCTGCCTGCACTTTAATTCAGTAATAAACACAAATCTAACTCATCTGTCTGCACTTTAATACAGGTATAGACTTAATCTAACTCATCTGTCTGCACTTTAATGCAGGTATAGGCACTCATATACCTCACCTCTCTACCCTTTAATTCAGTTATAGTCACTTATCTAACCTATCTTTCTGCACTTTAATTCAGGTACAGTCACCCATCTAACTAATCTGTCTGCACTTTAATTCTGGTATAGGTACTCATTTAACTCATCTGTCTGCACTTTAATTTAGGTATACACTTTATCTAACTCACCTGTCTGCACTTTAACTCAAGTATAGGCACCCATCTAACTCATATGTCTGCACTTTAATTCAGGCACAGCAACCCATCTAACTATTCTGTCTGCACTTGAATTCAGGTATAGGCATTCATCTAACTCATCTGTCTGCACTTTAATTCAGGTATAGGCACAAATCTAACTCATCTGTCTGCACTTTAATTCAGGTATAGGCACAAATCTAACTCATCTGTCTGCACTTTAATGTTGGTATAGTCACTCATATACCTCACCACTCTACCCTTTAATTCAGTTATAGTCACTTATCTAGCCTATCTTTCTGCACTTTAATTCAAGTACATGCACTTATGTAACTCATCTGTGTGCATGCTAATTCAGGTACAGCCACCCATATAACTAATCTGCCTGCACTTTAATTCAGGAATACACACTCATCTAACTCATCTGTCTGCACTTTAATACAGGTATAAACTTAATCTAACTCATCTGTCTGCACTTTAATGCAGGTATAGGCACTCATATACCTCACCTCTCTACCCTTTAATTCAGTTATAGTCACTTATCTAAGCTATCTTTCTGCACTTTAATTCAGGTACATACACTCATCTAACTCATCTGTGTGCATGTTAATTCAGGTACAGTCACCCATCTAACTAATCTGTCTGCACTTTAATTCTGGTATAGGTACTCATTTAACTCATCTGTCTGCACTTTAATTTAGGTATACACTTTATCTAACTCACCTGTCTGCACTTTAACTCAAGTATAGGCACCCATCTAACTCATATGTCTGCACTTTAATTCAGGCACAGCAACCCATCTAACTATTCTGTCTGCACTTGAATTCAGGTATAGGCATTCATCTAACTCATCTGTCTGCACTTTAATTCAGGTATAGGCACAAATCTAACTCATCTGTCTGCACTTTAATTCAGGTATAGGCACAAATCTAACTCATCTGTCTGCACTTTAATGTTGGTATAGTCACTCATATACCTCACCACTCTACCCTTTAATTCAGTTATAGTCACTTATCTAGCCTATCTTTCTGCACTTTAATTCAAGTACATGCACTTATGTAACTCATCTGTGTGCATGCTAATTCAGGTACAGCCACCCATATAACTAATCTGCCTGCACTTTAATTCAGGAATACACACTCATCTAACTCATCTGTCTGCACTTTAATACAGGTATAAACTTAATCTAACTCATCTGTCTGCACTTTAATGCAGGTATAGGCACTCATATACCTCACCTCTCTACCCTTTAATTCAGTTATAGTCACTTATCTAACCTATCTTTCTGCACTTTAATTCAGGTACAGTCACCCATCTAACTAATCTGTCTGCACTTTAATTCTGGTATAGGTACTCATTTAACTCATCTGTCTGCACTTTAATTTAGGTATAGGCATTCATCTAACTCATCTGTCTGCACTTTAATTCAGGCACAGCAACCCATCTAACTATTCTGTCTGCACTTTAATTCAGGTATAGGCATTCATCTAACTCATCTGTCTGCACTTTCATTCAGGTATAGGCACTCATCTAACTTACCAGTTTGCACTTTAAATCAGGTTTACTCACCCATCTTACTCATTTGTCTGCGCCTTAATGCAGACTCAAACACTAATCTAAGTTACCTGGTAATGCTGGTACATGTGCCTATATAGTTAACCTGTCTGCACTTTATTATAGATTTAGACATTAATTTAACTCACCTTTCTGCACTCACCTTTTAGCTCATGTACAGTCACATACCTAACTCACCTGTCTTCACTTCAATATGGATTTAGGGACTCAGCTAACTCACCTGTCTGCACGTTAGATCATGTACAGGTGCTCATCTAACTAAAGCTGGCCATACACCTATAGATTATCTGCAGATTTTCTATGGTCAGATGGAAAAAGTGCAACAGATTCCTCCATCTACACTAAACTGCGTGGATGGAGGAATCTCCCACTGGGCCAAGCTTCAGTATCTTGCTAGTCAGCAGCGCTGGCTTTCAAAATACCTGAACAATCTGATTGAATGCAGGCATTGTTCAGGAATTTTGAGAGCCAGTGTGGCCGACTAGCAAGATACTGAAGCTTGTCCCAGTGGGAGATTGCTCCATCCACACAGCTTAGCGTAGATGGAGGAATCTGCTGCACTTTTTCCATCTGACCATAGGAAATCTGCAGCTAATCTATAGGTGTATGGCCAGCTTTAGATGTCTGAACTTAAATTTGGTACAGGCACCAATCCAACTTACCTGTCTGCATTTTTATTTAGGTTTAAGCATCAATCTAGTTCACCTGTCTGCACTTTAATATGGATTAGGGACCCATCTAATTCACCTGTCTGCATTTTCACTCCGGTACAGACACCACCTGAATTACTGCCTGTACTCTAATATAGATTTAACATTCAGGTTTATACACCCATCTAACTCACCTATCTTTGCTCAAATTCAGGTATATGCCCTTAATTAACTCACTTGTCTACAGTTTATTTCAAATTTAAGGACCCATCTATTTAATTGACTACACTTTAATACAGATTTAGGCGCCCAACTATGTTACCTCCCTGCACTTGAATTCCAGCACAGGCACACACCTGATTTACAGTCTGCACATTAAGTCAGGCATATGCATTCATCTCATTCATTTGTGCTGATCCTACTGTCCACAGTCCCCTTATCAACACTAAGGTTGTTTGTCTTGCTGTTTGCATCTTCGGACCGAAGCCTATATTTATTTAGATGGTGATCCACTACAGTAAATTTGCCAACGGGTGATGCTGGAGGAGAAATTTGAGTTTTTCCTGGTATATGTAGAACTGAGAAGCTGCGGAAAGCTGGGGTTTTATTGGAAAACTCCCTTCGATTTTATTTAATTTCATGATTGCAACATTAATCGGAATGACTGTAATTCTGCCATCTTTTAAATAAGTGCAGTCATTCTTAGGCTATATACATGGCACAGTTAAAGCCTATTCATTGTACACTAAACATGAGCATTTTTCTGCAGCTAAGTAATGGAAGGTTGTTCTGTATCCCTTGATAGGTAAAATTATGTGCTTTAATAGAATAATTGGCGAATGATATGGAAGAACCTAGAGCATTCCACCTTTTCATTCATCTTTAACTAGAACAGAGGATACCTTTCTGAATCTACTGGAAAAGAAAGATACCCCGTAAATCACTTGTCTGCATCTAGTGCAGGGATCTAGAACATCCATCTACCTCGCCTGTCCGCAACTTCTACAGAAAGACACTTTCCTTTAAACTACGTCGCTAGGGCGAGTATCTAAAGCATCCATGTAATTCACCTGTATAGAGCTAACAGATAGTGAAGAATTGCTTGTAATTAACCCGTCTACAATTCACACAGATACAGGTTTGTCTCTAACTTACCTCTCAATATTGAGTGTTGAATTAAATATCACCTGTGTGCTGTTAGTGCAGAGATATCAAAATACCAGTTTTAGAAGTCTTATCATGCCCTGCCAGTGTCTGATAAATGAAGCCAGGTCTAGTGTTTTATCCAAGATATACACCGACTACATCTTTATTCCTTGTTCCTTCTCTACAGCTGCCCTACTCCTGGCTGCGATGGCAGTGGCCATGTTAGTGGTAAATATGCAAGACATAGAAGGTAATTATAGTCATTCTTTTATCTTTATGTTTCTATGTTCAAAAGTGGTGTCAATATATTTTTGTACTTTGTATGAGTGTAATGTATAAGGTTACAAGGTCAACACATTCATCTGATGCTTCTCTATAAAATGGACCTTGGATAGTTACATAGACTGTTACATTTCTATACTGGAAGTGGTCTCTGAATAAAAGAGTATTAGTAGTAGCTCTTGAATCCAGGGGACTCATATGACTCATGACTTCCACCTTCTGTTTAGCCTCAGAGACAGGAAGTAAAGTGAAATCTACTCAGGCACAAACAGCAAAAAAAAACTTGACAGGGGTTTTAACAATTCCCCTTTATGTCCAAAAAATAGAAACAAGGTTTTTTTACTTTAAGTATAATTTAAACTTTTCTGGTTATTGTTTCTCAAGCCAATGAAATCAATGTTACCCTCTTATTGCTTCTTTTTACAAGACTTGAACAAAACTGGGAGAACTACACCTGACCACATCAATAAAGGGGCTAGAATACTTTAATATTTTAAATCAGAGTAGATATCGATCTACTGAATCACCCCTTAGCTCCCCCTGGGCTCTGTACCTGTGAGATTTCCCTATGTAAGAGTCCAGCAACTCTTTTTTGCCACAGCCATTCTGAAGGGACCTAATGACCACTTTTAAATTTTTCATTAATTTTAGATTATAGTGATTGCAGTAAAACAAACAATGCTATATGGCAGGGCTGGCAGGATCCAGGACACCTGAGTCAGATTTGGCCAGTGAATTCCCTAAGAGACATAAAAAGCTAGTAAATTAGTCAGCTCAGAAGTATCTGCTGATAGATACAATATTGATGTTAGTGGTGCCTAACCTTGAAGAACGTTTCTTCTATGAAAGATATAAATTAAGAACACAGTCTTGGTATCAATTATTGGTATCAATATTAAGAGGATAACATTGTTTTCATTTCAACCAAGCGAGCATGCTGATCTTGGGAAATGATGATAAGTGTCCTCTTATGTGCCTGGTAAACCTACCTTACACCTCCCAAATTTCAGTTGGGTAGAAACAACTTTAGGGTGTAACTTCTAAAAAGCTGGTATGGTTTTCACATTGTTGAATCGATTAGAATAAGGTATGAGTAGACTGGACAAAGCTTAAACTCTATCTGTATTGATGCTAAAGTGACAGCAGACATGACGCGCATCTATGGATTTTGTTTCTGCATGTCCCTGCAACCCCCGAACTTATAAGTTTAATATGTAGATGTTGATTTGGAGTTCTGCAGTCATAGTTGTAGTCCACCTATTCTGGTCTACTACACTGTTCTACTTGTCAGTGAGGACCACATAACATTGAGGAACCAGGAAATGTGTTGGAGGCAGATGCAACGTGCTGCTACTGACCTGATCAGATTGTGGGCCCTGGTTCTGGAGCTCCCAATGTGTTTGCAAGAAATGTATTGATCTCCTATGCCTGTTATCACTTTAGGTTGGTTTTAGATGAAAATCTTGCAAATCATGTGTACGGAACTTAATGAAAGTGTGCCAATGAGCTGATTTATTAGGACTGGAGAAAGAAAACAAGAACTACTACCTAGGTAGCAATAGACTTAGGCATGCAGAGGCAGGAACAAAGAGGCTAAAAAAGACATTTTTATAACTCTGCATAAGCAAACTGACAAACTGCTATGCTAATATAGGTGTATGGAACCAGGGTGTGTACACTGTAAATACACAGTCCACTATTCCACCACAAGGGTGGAGGGACAGAAAGAATGAGGACGCAGTTGGATAACACTGACAGGCAGGGGAGGTACACTGAAATAATACTTAGGAATGTGTTACTTATAGTGAGCAGCATTATGTGTGGTTAACTGTTTGTCAGCTCTGGCAAAACTACTGCTCTAGGCCATGGTCTGTATTAGGTAATTGAATATCCTGTCCTGCCACCAGCCTCCTGTCAGACTGCTCCGCCTCCCACACTTTCCAAAATTTGTTTTTGCAGATGCAGGCAGCCATATTATGGGAAAATTTAGAATTTCTGCCATTGATAAATATGACATCTAGCTCATTCTTTTGCCTTCCACCGTTGTGAGCTCTTAGGCTAAACACTCCTGTTCTGTACAGACACACCGCTCGGGGAGTTCAATGAACCCTGCAGACAGCCGTAATGGAGTCCACTCTGTCTGCACTAAATGCAACTGGAAACTGACTGGACTCTGGTGCTGCACCAGCTTCCATGAGCACACATTTAAAGTTAGATTGTAGATTTTAAAAGTAATTCTAATTATCTCCCAACTATCTCTTTTTTTTTTTAAATCAAACCCATCTGTCCCTCGTCCCTCTTCCCTCTTCAGTTGTCTCTCATTTTTGTTCTATGTATAGATCTCTATATAAAATGTATTACTTAACTCTCAAAAGTGTTATACTACACTAAACCTGTTATCCAACCTCCAAATGCATTTGTTATTTTGAAAAGGCAGTGTAAAGGAAAATAAGTGGTGAAAAAAGCACTTATAGGCTTAATTGTAATTGTTTTGTATTCTGCTTGTTTCATGATATGGACATGTCATTTGCCTACCTAGTATGTTCTAAAGGTGTCTCATCTCATGAGGTTGAGATGAATGCTTCTATATAAACCAATATCCAACTGAATTGGTTAAGATATATCTTGGATGAATCAGATGATCTAATAACCTTGGTGAAAAGCCATTAATACCTAAAACCTGTATTTCATTTTTGCATAGGCACCAATACATTGGCTCACCAGTTTGCTTCCTATAATTATTATGAAAAAATAAAATGTCATTTGATTTGGTAATACCTTAGTTAGTTGGGTACTGGAAACTCTACTAGTGAAAGCTCACCATATCTCTATTCTGACTTCAAACTGCAGACAATCATAAACACACTGATGATAAGTGAAAAAAGCAATACCGGCGCCCCCGGTTTGCAGAGAAATCCGGCTGTAAAGTTCATTGGTACACCATAGAGGCAGCTCCCACCGGTCAACAACGACCATCGATCTGGGAAACAAAAGCAACACAGAGCGCCTCCATAGTGTAAAACTTTTATTTGATGAGTACAACACGCAAGTGAAAATTTACTTACACGAAAGCCAATGATCATAAGCGTAAAAGGAAACAATAAAATATAAAATCTCCATTTTATATTTTATCGTTTCCTTTTACGCTTATGATCATTGGCTTTCGTGTAAGTACATTTTCACTTGCGTGTTGTACTCATCAAATAAAAGTTTTACACTATGGAGGCGCTCTGTGTTGCTTTTGTTTCCCAGACTGATGATAAGTGTTACAACATGCAGTATGTGGTCATTTAATGAAAAGTGCAAGTGTGCAGAATCTTCGAAAACTGCCGGACTGACTAGTGGTGTCCCACATATAGCAATGCCAGGGGCCTAATGACCATCTTAAATTGTGTATTGTGCAACATATATTCAGAAGTATTAGCCCAAACATTGTAATCTAGAGATCGTTTAATAACCTCATTATCTAGACCTGATTCAGCTTTTTAAGCTCACAGCATAAAAACCTTTGGCGTTGTTCCTTCCAGCACAGACGCTAAGCTAAAAAAAATGTATAGCAGGAAAAGAATGCCCGTTTCTTTGGAGGTACACAATAATATGAAACGAAGTGAACATAAATGAATAAATACAGTGTTTCACTTTAAAAGGTGTTTGTGTTTGTAAATAAGTAAGATGCAGGTGCGGGAAAATGGCTCTTTGTGTTTACGTTATATATGACAGATCTAAGAAACAAAAAGGTTAATAAAAATATTCAAGTGTATGTAAACTTAAGGCTAGGTTCACACCTATGCAACTTTTCACCGTGGCGATCGTGCATGAATCCGCACGGATTGCTGTGCGGTCAGGAGTCGCCAATGTGTGAACCAATCGCACTGTGGGTGCCATTATTTTCTAATAATGACTAAAACAGCCACGTGTCATGTATCGCAAAAAAAAAGGTACCTGTATCTTTTGTCTGCGATTGCCACGCGGATGTCACCCCATTGAAATCAATGGGGCCGCGCGGCAATCGCTGCCTGCATTGTACAGGACTGCGGGATCCAGGGACGGACATCCCGGGTGTCGTGCAGTGTAGTGCAGGTTTGAACTTAGCCTAAAAACTTATTTTTCGGTATGTTTGGCATCATGTCTAGGCCTGGTTCACACCTGGGCGTTTTGTAGCGCGTTGGAACGCTCTGCAAAACGTTCAAACACCGAAATCCCATTATTTCCTATGGGTATGGTTCACACCTGGGCTTATTACAGGACGTATGAACGCGCTACAAAATGCCCTACGCCCAAAGAAGTACAGGAGCTTCTTTGGGGCGTTTTTGTTGCGTGTTTCCATTGGGATACAGCCAAGTAGCCCTCAGAAACGCACGTCTGTCGCACGTTTTTTACCGCAAATCACGGTAAAAACACACGTCACGAAACGCACGACAAACGCGCATATTCGATATGCATAGGTGTGAACCCAGCCTAAAGTTTTCTTAAGCAAATCATTTTCTTGTGAATCTGTTGCAAAGTTTCTTCTGTGGAGGTCCTGCCAGCAACAGCACTTCCTGGCTAACACTAGGCCTTTGCCACACAGTTAGCAGGAGTGTGTTAGCCTGCAGTGCAAGCTGTTATAGTGATCACATGAACAAGAGGCTTTCTGATTGATTACTGATCATTTGTACCTGTGGCTGTCAGTGACTTTCAGAGTTCCGTTAACGGAATTCGTATTTCGTTTTGGTTGACCAATCAGAGGTTCTCTTCTGCTGCTGAGAGTTGCATTACAAATACAGGCAGTAAATACGAAACCCACAGGGGTGTCTCATCCCACAGTACATCTCCCCTGAACTCACGAGCACCGACGGATACAGTGTGTTTGACCCTCCAGTATCCGAAATACGGAATTCGGAATACGGAATCCGTTAACGGAATTCGTATTTCATTTTGGTTGACCAATCAGAGGTTCTCTTCTGCTGCTGAGAGTTGCATTACAAT